CACTCTAATTCTGCAACCCGCTCACAGACTCGTAAGAAGCTATTCTAAAACAAAAAAAGCTACAAACTGCTTAGAAATCTGCCAACTGGAAATGCAATACACTTGTCCTTTTTTAACAACTACAAAAACTTGTATCAGCTTTTTGGAACAGTGACTAAGAATTGACACTGACACCCATTTTCACAATTAAGAAAAAATTATTCATAATATTGAAGAAGGAATGAAATCTTCAACAGGAAGGTGTGTGACCTACCACGACGGAACACGGCGATGTCAGCCTCACCAACGAGGCACGCTCCCTGTTTAGTGACTCTAGACTTGTTCGCCTTTTGCTGGGCGATATATGTCAGAGGATACTGGCAATCCTTCAAGAAAAGGATTCCAAAGGTGATTTACCATTGGCTGGTGCTATCCCCTAATGCCTTTTTGCCGTATGCCCTAATTTTATGGAAACAAATTAAGGACATTAAGCCAGGGGTAAGTGTACTACTCAAAACATACCTGGGTGCTAGTGCTCAGGTCAAAAGCTGCAGGATGTGTTTAGGCTGCCAAGTAGAAGTCCTCACCTGCCTATCTGAACGCTAACATCACGAGAGTTCACACGCTTTTCTAGGGACAAAATTTAAAACTCAGGTGAAACTGTCCAGAGTTGAACTTGCTGTTGGAATCGAATCCTTGTTCTCCCCTTCTTGTGCCGTCTTCTCATCTTTTCTATATAGGATACTTTTCCTTTATAATTTCCCCTTGATTAATTTTTTTCTAAGACGTGTTTCATAGGTTATAACACAAAGACTTTAAAAGAGGAAAAAGGCTAAAGAACATTAGTTAATCTTTGGAGATGTAAGCATTTAAGCTCACATTTTAAAAACCTTAAATATGCTATCTACGAACTTCAGACACTAACGACATCACAGTCTAGGCACTTTGGATGGACCTAATGACATGAATCCTAACCGTCCGAAAGTGATTGTTATTAGTGTCTTTATTAATTAGTAGTGATGATCCAATGTACACATGCCTGCTATCCCTTCTCCTGGATCGTACATTAAATTTTCTAGTTATTTTTAAGCATAAAATTCGCATAGGCCTAGGAGCAGACAGGAAAAAAAAAACAGAATAAAGAAATTGATTGTGGGTAAGTTACCATGTTAATTGAAATAAGATTCTACGCATTGCTCTCATGCTAATAGAAAGGAGAAAAGGACCAAACCCAGTGGCTTAGGACATTCTGCTTATGGCCAAGGTCAGAGTTTGGTCCCTGGCCAGAGGGCCTTTCCTACCTCTGTTCCACCAGCATACAAAAAGGTAACAGCTGTCATAATATGGATGGATCCTCACCCGGTGTCTCACAGGTAGTGGGTGCTTTGCTCAATGATCACTAAAGGGGTTACATGAATGAGTGAAATCAACTCCAAGGACAGTGACAGAGTGAAGTCAGCAGTGGTGGACGTCAGCAGAGGAAGAACAACCCAAGACGGTGCAAACTATTTAAGTAGCTGATAACATTTTGTTTAAGATTCTGTAATTTAAGTTCAAGGATAGCCATACCTTACTTTGCCCTATTTTATAATTATGAAGTAGTCAATTAAAGAACAATTAGTGTCTGTATGCTTGGCCAGGCATCACAGCCCTGCAAACTAGTAAACGCTCACAATTGAACACACAACCATCTCCACATTCTAACGCCATTTTGAAAACTTAATTGTCACCTTGGACCAATGGTATGACCTTGAAATGGAGATAACTCCTACTGTTCCTGTCTCCAACTCTAGCTTTGTGCAGATTAACTAATTAAAGTTATGAAGAGATCTGAAGAAAACTATCCCTGTATATTATTGCCATTTGCCTTCAGATTCAGCACCAAATCAGAAAATATTATAAAAATCACCTCCATCCCCAAATTTTGCACTCTTAGAAATAATTCCCTTTAAGTATCATGATGAATTAGGCTAAATGGCTTTGGACTGCAAGCACTCACAGGCAGGATTTATGAATGGAAACATGTGAAGGCCGCTCCCGCCAGCTCCGAAGCCCCATACTTTCTTCCTGGGCTATTTATAGAAAGCGTATGGCCGGTGGAAAAGACCACGTTTATTTTTACAAGGCAGTCATGACATGACCAAAGAACTCACTTCCTCTCTCTGGGAAGGTCGTCCGCTTCACCTGAGGGTGCAGCTGCAAGGACAGGCAGAAAAGGAACCCCTTTTAGCCAACTAACTCAGCCTGAGTCACTGCCAGAAATCAACCCACTGGACAGGCACTGGAGTCAAACACCCTCATTTACCAGGCATGACTCTATGATGCTGCTCCTTGAGATGTCATCTAGATCATGACTAATAAGTAAAAATAAAATGCATTACATAACGTGCTTCAAAATTCTGCTGCCAGAATAGGTTGCACGGAGATAATGGAGTGCATTCTTATTTATCTTTTGTCCTACATTTCAAACAGCTGAACACAATAAAGGAAAACTGAATTTTTATGGATGTGGCAAAATGGAGAGTGGGAAAAAATATTTTTAAAGGTATTCTATTCTGATTGCCATACTACCCCTGAAATATATACTATACCTGGATAATTCCACGCAAATGGAGACTCAGTAAATATTTGCTGATTCTAAAATATCATCATTTATCTCAACAGAAATCGACATAATTTAGCAAATAACATATATGGTTTCACAAATCATCCCTGGTCTTATATAGTGTGTATCGTACCTATTTGCAAACATGAAGTGAAGCCAAACCTCTGTTATCAACTAGAATGTCCTTTTGTCAAGGTTATGTGTGGTTTATAAAAACTAAGATGGAATTGGAAAAGAAAAGTGGAAGAAGGAAAAGGTAAAGGGAAGGAAAGTGAGTCCTCCTTCTCTCTGGGACACACTGGGTGCCGAAACCTTTGAGGGAATAAGTGTGTCATCTTACTGAGCTCATGCATCATTATCACTTGAAAATGATACGGGTATAATTTTATCCTTAAGTGGCCTCTGCTTAAGGACAAAGACACAGCCAGAAGAGAATTTTCCTTGTGGACCCAGAAGATCTCCAACAAAAATTTAAAATGATAAATACAGGGTTTATTTCTTATTCTCAAACTCATCGACTCTTTTTAGAAGTCTAACTGTTGAAATTTCCTTCTGAAAGGGGAGGGCCCATTTTACAAGGCAGCTACAAAATACTCTTCCACCTGTTTCTCCAGCTTCCAAATCACCCTTCTTTGGAGCTCTAGAAGAGACAACAATGACATGCAAATAAGTTTGCATGTGGAAATATCCTGATTTCCACAATTGTCCTTGAATACATGTCCTGAATTAAGTTACAGCTGTGGATTAACATCTGTGGTTAGGCGCAAATTCTCAGCCCCTGTAACCTAACAGGAATCTCCTTGCACTTTGCAAAAGATGAGACACTGACACTCACCAGCAAACGTGCAAAAAGTGTATTTACAATCCCATTAAGAAGGTCTACATTAAATACAGACGTATATAAAGGTAACTTCTGTGTGCGAAGTAACACACACGAATACTGGTTCCTCCAGGGAACTGTGTCGAGCCTCTCTATTTACAAATACAGCAGCGATTAAAAGCATAAACAAAACCAGCAATCTTTTTAGAAGCTCCAGCCTACCAGTGCTGAGGTAAGTGTTCATCGACTTTATGTGCTTGATCTAAATTATACTATGAAGTCAAGACTCCCCATTCAACAACTTACTTGCCCCTTAACCAAAAGGACTTGTCAGGAAGCGTTAGAAGTATTTAAATAAGCCGCCTCAAAGGTTTGTGTTAGAGTTGCCATCTCAAGTACAGGTTAGCATTTCTAAGAAATGTCTTAAATAACACTGGCTGATATAGTTATTAGAAAGGATCTCAGGAGTGTGGTCACTAATTTTTCAATGATTTAGGGTGACCAGCATTCATTTCCACAGTCTGGATCCAAATGAGACATACAGTGTTTAACTAGGCAAAGCTAATCGTACTTAACTCAAAATCTTCAGTTACAACTCAAGTAATATGCTCCTAACTTTCACAATATAGCAGCCTCATTTATTCCTGAATATTATATTTCCAACTTTAAGCAAGGATAGATGGCATCAGTCTAACACAGAGTCCTCTCACCCTCCCCAGTGGCTGCATACACAACCACAGCCACATTAGTGAGCTGGCTCCTTCTTGTAGAGAAGCCAAATGCTCGCATGTCCTGGTAAACGACTTCCGGTCCTATCAAAAACTTACAACCAACACCATCTTCCTCCCCTCCTGGGTGGAATGTTAACCCTTGATTTGCAGTCAAGTATGAAAAGCTTATTCCTACTGCTCTCCCCATGTAAGAAACTATGTTTGAGGACCAGTCATTTGGGCATTGCTTCAAAAGGCACATTTATTCCAGTGGCAATTTAAGTCAGTAGAGAAGAATAAAATTAAAAACCAACAAAAAAAAATAGGCTGGAATACATTAAAGGAAATAGGAATCTGGGATCTATACAAACCACTGAGCTCCTCTCCAATAGTTTCACCAGAGTGCCTAAGGGAGAATAATTCACAGTTGTATCATGACACACACAGGCCTTCAGAAAACACTGTTTAAAAAAGTAGTTGAGAACTCTCAAGCAGCTCGCCCTGATGTCCAGTTCAAGTGAATGCAATGCAGAAGGGCTGCAAAGTTCAAAACTACGTGACAAAGAAAACTCAGTGCACATCACAGGCTTTGATAAGTTATAAAAAATCATTGTATATATTACTATGTAAATAACATCTGAGAAACATTCTGAAATAATTAACTTGCGTTCACATTCCATGCATTTTCTAGCAGGTTAAGCCCTGGGTTTGTGTCTTTGTGCCCGTTTCCTACAAAGCTCCATTCTTTGGACAAATCCCAGTACTCCTAAGACTGAAATGGAAGTACTCAGGGATTTTTGTCTACTTACCCTCTTTACTGCACACCTGACCTCACGAGAGCTACTTGTTATTACCGCTGGCACAGAAGACGATTGGAAAATCGAACTGTTCGGGGTTTTATTTGGGATTTTATTCGCTGCCTTTGAAAAATCCCTGGATGTCACAGACACTACCTGATTTTTTCCCAGGAGCAAGAACCAGCGGCCCTCGCCCTCCTGCTTGACCCGCCTCCCTCTTCCAAAGCCCAATGCACCGAGACCCCCTTGTTGCAGTGGACTTTTCCCCTGTGGTTTTGCAGCACCCTCCTCGAGCAAAGAAGGAAACATAACGAAACTTGAAAACAAACCAACAATAGCAACAACAGAAACTCCGACCAAACAGGTGGGCCAAACGGCAGCCTCCTCCAAGGCAGAGGCTCACTTTTTACTGCAGAACTCGGAGTTGTTTAGGAACTTCTTGATGACCAGCCCTAGACAGAGGACCAGCAGCAGCATGTAGCCCACGGTGCCTGAGAAGGTGGGCGCGGCAGGCGGCGCCTTGAGGAATTGGCGCAGGCCCTCCTCCACGTAGTACACCTGGTCATAGATGCTAAGGAAAGTGAAGATGTGGAAGAGCTGGTGGCTGTGGCCGATGATGTCAAAGAGGCCTGGGTGGATGCGCTCGGGGATCTTGCTCACGTTGAAGAAGGCGGCCACCACCAGCCAAAAGTAGCGGCGGTAGAAGTGCACGAAGAGCGTGGGGTTCTCGCCGCGCAGGTCGAAAAGCCAGCTCTCGAGCATGATGGGGCAGGCCATGCTGAGCGGCATGATGAAGACGAAGGTGCGCAGGGCGAACGGGTAAGAGCACCAGTCGGTGCGGCTCTTGCAGCAGGCCACGGTGCAGGCCACGGCCAGCACGAAGGCTACGGGCAGCACCAGCGCGCGGTAGGCGGCGATGAGGCGCGTGCAGTCCACGTGCCAGCCCAGGCGTTGCTGCACGTACGGGGTCATCACCCTGGCGTCCAACAAGCTCAGGCCAGGCAGCAGGTAGTAGTAGTAGGCCACCGTGCTGCCGAAGCCGTAGTAGCTGATGGACGCGTAGTCCAGGTAGAAGAAGGCGGCGCGCAGGCGCAGCGACAGGCAGCTGAACACGTGCGCCGTGCAGCTCATGGCGAAAGTCAGCAGCACCCCTGACGCGTAGCACCACAGCGGCAGCAGCCACGGGTGGTGGAAGGGCACGTCGCGGCCGCTCAGGAAGAACAGGCGGCAGAACTTGCTCAGGAACAGCAGCAGAGGGATGAAGTGCGTCCAGAAGTTGAGCGTCTCGTTGGTCGGCTTCAGCACCGAGGCCAGGCACTCCTGCGCCGTGCACGGCAGCCGCCGGTAGCCCGACAGGATGAAGCACTCCACGAAGTCGTCGGGCACCTCGTCCCAGCGCAGCAGCGGCCTGGCCGAGGCTGCGGGGTCCCCGGAGGGGTGGGGGCGCGAGGCAGCCTCCGAAGCCGCCGCGCTGGCGGCCGGCGGGCCCTTTGTGCCCGCGCCCCGGGGTTGCAGGCGCCGCGGCATGGTGCCCGGGGCTTGGCTAGGGCGCGCACAGGCGACCTCTGGCGCCGGCTCCCGCGCGCTCGGCAGTCCCCGCCGGCCGCCGTCGGAGCCTTTGTGCACCCGCCGGGGGCGTCGCTGCAGCTTCAAGAGAAGACGCGAGCCTCTGAGCAGCCGCTCCTGAAAAATAAATAAATAAGTAAAAATGATAATCAATTACCAGCCGCGCGGCGACCGGCAGGAGCGCGCGGGGCTCGGGGGCCCCCTCGCCAGGCTCCCCGCTCCCGGCTCGCGGCCGCCCGCGCTGCGGCAGCGGCGGTGGCGGCGGCGGCGCAGCGGACTGCGGCGGCGGCGGCGCTGCTGCGGTGACTGGGCATCGCGCGGTGCGGGCGCCGCCACCGCCGCCCCCGGCGCGGGAGGCGGGGATGTGGGAGCCGAGGCGCTGGAGGGAGGGAGGGACGGGCGCACCAAGGGAGGGCGGGGGCCTCCCCGGCTAGTGTTTCGCGGCCGCCACGGGGGATAGAGTTGTCCCCTGTCTCGAGTTCCGTACCATCCCCCCTCCCCGGGCCGCAGCAGCCGGAGCTGGCCCGTTAATGACTGATGCGGGGGCCAAAGGCTGCGCCAGCGATGAGCTGTGCGCCCGGAGGGCGAGGGTCCGCGCCGGGGTTCGAAACCCGACAGCCCGCTGGCGTTCGAAAGGACACTGGGCGGCCGCGTTCGCGGGGGGCGGGGAGCGGCAGCCGCGGGGGCCCGAAGGGCGCCCGCGTGTCCGAGCCGGGGCTGGCGGAGAGGTGCGACAACAGGGATCCCCACAGGGGCTGGGGGCGCTCCGGGATCGTGGGGCTTGGAGACCGTGTCTGGATCGGGGCAGTGTCATTGTCAGCTACCTGGGACTGCTCGTCTCTTTCCCTGTGTGTGTGTGTGTGTGTGTGTGTGTGTGTGTACGCGCGCGCGCACGCACGCGCGCGAGGCTCCCACTCTCCCACCGTATCAAGCTTTAGTTATCTCCTTTCGTCTATCGGACTTATTCAGGTGCGTCACTAACCTGCCTTCTCCCTGGTTGTTGTCTGTCCAAACGAGTCGTCCCTAAACTGGCCTCCGGTCGCGCTCCCCGGCCCTCGGGGGCCGCAGGTCACCCATCCTCGTGTTCTTGTGCCTTTAGCTAGGCATCTTGTTTGGCGTCCAAAGTCCTACATCTCAGGGCGGGCTGCTCAAACGCCAAGTTTCAATGAAAAATTTCAGAGGACGACCAGGCGGTTCAGAAAGCCTGTAACGATCCGAGGAATTTATTAAGAAGGGGTTCCCGGCCCACCCCGTGGCCGAGTGGTTAAGTTTGCGCGCTCCGCTTTGGCTGCCCAGGGTTTCATCGGTTCGGATCCTGGGCGCGGACTTGGCGCCACGGGTCAGGCCATGCTGAGGCGGCGTCCCACATGCCACAGCTAGAAGGACCCACAACTGGGGCGATTTGGGGAGAAAAAAGAAAAAGATTGGCAAAAGTTCTTAGCTCAGGTGCCAATCTTTAAAAAGAAAAAAAAAGAAGGGGTTCCCAAGCAGAGCTGTGCCCCAGTCAAAGGCTGATCAAGTAGAGGACGTTGATGAGAGAGGACTTAAGGTAGGAGGTGCATTCTAGCAGGAACTGAAAAGAGAACGAAGATGAATTCATGGAGACTGGAAGGAGGTGGCTTGGAAAAAAGTTATGCATAATTAACCAGAAGTACCTGGCAGGCTAGGCTGGGTGTCTGGAGGCCAGAAGAAAGGGAGAAGAGTGGAAAACGGTTGTGATGCACTGCGGGATGAAATTATGCCCTTGAGCCTTGTAAAAAAAAGCTGTCTGCTCTAAAATGTTTACCATTTCACAGAAGTTTCTGTTAGTGATGCTATGAGGGTGTGACTGAGTCTGACTTGTGTCATGGACCTGCAGTACAGTGTCATGGCGATAAGAGCTAACTTTTAAGGGACCAGGCACTGTTCTAATGCTTTACAGTTTTTAAATCTTTTAGGTGTTACTATTTTTCTCATTTTACGGATGAGGAAATGGAGGCACCACGACCATAAATAACATGCCCTATTGGTGAAGGGGGATTTGAACCCAGGCAAACTGCTTCTCATGTGCTTAAACCAGAACACCCAACGACCTGCTTTTGCCCAAAGGAAACTAGTAAGAAATGGCAGTCTGATTTAGCAAAAGGCTTTCATTTTCGTTTTATAAATGAAAGGCTGCCTTCATCACTACAGCAAATCCTTTAAGTAGGTCAAGGAAGATTTACTCAGTAGTGGCTCAAGAAGGACTTAAGTTATGCATAAGAAATATTTATAACGAAGAAATCATTCAGTATTGTACATGTCTAAAATTACTTAAGGGTACTAGAGACAGTCTCTTTAGAAGTTTCGGCCTTCTCTCTCAAAAATGTTTTCCGCTAGTAATGGACTTAGCAAACTCTTATGCAATTAGGCCAAAGGTACATTTAGGTCTTGAGCCTTTCTGAACTATCACAAATTTCTGATTAATAGATTTTAAACAAATGAGATTTTCCTGTAGTTACTTAACTAGTATGTTGTTTTAGTATTTTCTGCTTTCCCACTGTCTATAGCTTTGTTGTTTCAAAGCAAGACCTAATTTCCCTTCTTATCTGGACTAGCACCCAGGCTAATTTGAAAAAGGGATTAAGATTCAGGCATTTATCAATCAAGCCTGGGAATGATAAACCTGAATCCAGGGCAGACGGAAAACAGGGTCTTTTTTCATATTCTCTTTGTTACTCCACAAACAACCTGAGCTGTAACCTGTAAAAAATATTGATCCTATAAAAATTCCTATATTTAGCAACCTCTTAGTTGCATAATCAGCTCACTTACATAATCAGGGAGAATATAGGAGAAAGTTCATATCAAGTAAAATAATGGAATTGACTGAATGTGCAAAAACTCTAGTTAGATAAAAGAACATTTATCTTTCTGACTAAGAATGGTGAGACTGGCTGTAATAAAATATGACGTGCTTTAAAACACTCAGTACTTTATAAAGTTAAAAAATCTGTCGTAGCATTTCTTGTAAGTCTTTGAGAAAGCCTTTGTGATTTCTGCTTTTCTCTTTTCTCATCCATCTCCCACCCCACATGAGGCACAGAGTCAGCTGATGCCATGAAGTGGTGTTCCTGAAAGCTCTCTGGTGCCAAACCACACTGGTATCCTTGCTCTACCTTGACAAAGCCAAGTAAAAAGGAACTAAGAAAACAGCAAAATTGACCTAACTTATTAAAAAATAAAGAAATAAAAGTAATGAAATTTAAAAAGTCAGCAGTATGACTTCAAGTACTACCAATCTACAGAAGTAATTTTCCTTAAGTTTTTTGAGATATAAAAATGTGTTCCCCAAACCCTACGCAGGCTGGGTTTTGTAGTTTAACTCCAGTAAACTAATTGCCTCTGGTCAGTGAGAACCACGCGCACATCCCCTGGGCTGGCTGGCTGCCATCCTCTGGAGGTGCCCTGAAGAAAAGTCATATCTAAGGGAACCGGGACTGCCTACCAAGTTCTTGACAGAGAGGACTTGCCAGGTGTTACATCGGAAAGTCACTGCCAGCATTTACAGGCAGAATCAGCTGGTTCTCCCAATCGAAAACTTGTCAAACCAAGACCACAAATGTGGTTTCGTAATTTTGTGGCGGCTCTGTACATTCTGGTGCTGAGGGGTCCTGGCTGCAAAATGCAGTCATGTATAGGAACTGCAGCAAACGGGACAAATGCTTCGCCCATGTGGTTTGCTTTGGTGATGTTCTTATAGAGCACTATAGGTTTATTTGTATTTCTTTCTACAGAAATAAAGTGAAGCATATATAAAATTCCACAGCAAGTTTGTTGTTCTCTAATATGGACAAGGAGCTGTTTGTAAAACCTGCAGAAAAAGTATGCGATGATATTTGCAAATAATACACTGTTTTCAGAGGAAATAATTTTTCCCTTGTCTCATTTTTAGCCAAAACCAATCAAACAAACAAACAAAACCCACTGTGGACTCAGTACTGAACTGCACCCAAGCCTCTGTATAAAGAGAATTCTATGAGCTTCAGTCCCTCTCCTCAGAATATACAGTCTAAATGAAGTGCCTCCCTTCCCCAAATGGAAAACAGCCAGAATGTTATCCAGACTCTTCCCAGTCAGCTTTGGTTACTACCAAATTTTAGGCTCTGAGCTTCCTGATGGTGGAAAACCGCCTGGCAGTGGCATCAGGTGTAACTATGGCAACCGTGGGGAAAAAGTGCAACCGGAAGTCCAGGTAGAGGGCGGGAAGCCAGGGAGAGAGTGGTGGGAGATTAAGTTCTATCTGGCACTATTTCTGCCCATTTACGGACATGGTGACGGGGTTCTCTTTTGAAGAAAAGCTAAGGGAGACTTGTTGAGGATGTTTTTTGAGGTTCCGTGCAGGAAATGACAGCTCCATACTGCCCTCTCTCCCACAAGTTGGCCTCTTCTCTACCAGTGGCCTCCAAAGTGGGGTGCGCAAGAAGACTGATTAAGGTGAAGAATAGAACTACAACTTCTCTTTCAATAGTTCTCATCCTTTTTTTTTTTTTTTAAAGATTTTATTTTTCCTTTTTCTCCCCAAAGCCCCCCGGTGCATAGTTGTATATTCTTCGTTGTGGGTCCTTCTAGTTGTGGCATGTGGGACGCCGCCTCAGTGCGGCCTGATGAGCAGTGCCATGTCCGCGCCCAGGATCCGAACCAACGAAACACTGGGCCGCCTGCAGCGGAGCGCGGAAACTCAACCACTCGGCCACGGGGCAAGCCCCTCTCATCCTTTTAAGTGTCTATACTCTGGGAAGGTTTTATAATACACTTAACATGTAGTAGGTGAAGGTAATTTATAAATAATATGTTGTTGGGGCATTGAGGAGCATGGAAACGCCCGCTGATAAAGGGTGTGTGATCAAGACTGTTGACTTCCGTCCTATAGCCCATTGCTCTTGTTTGTCTGGCCTGCTTCCATCCCCTCCCCTGGATCCAGAATGGACTCCCCTTTCCTGCCTCTCAGGTGGCTGGAAAGAGTGTTTCAGGGTCACCATCTGTCAGGCACCAGTCCCTAAGCTCTGCCCAGACCTCCCCAAGGCTTCAGCCCCTCCCACAGCTTCTCTGAGCTAGGATGGCAGTCCCCATTCTGGACTTCTTTCTCCCAATGCTGCCATTCCTGTTTCCTGGCTAGAGCGTATATTGTCTTCCTACAAAGACCTCATGTTTACATGTTATGTTCGTCCTAATTCAGACTTAGCTTTTGGGGAGGAGACTGTCATTTGCTGTTGCTTGCGTTTGGTAGGCCCTTTTAGGTGGCTTCCATTTATTTAACTTTAGAAACAGTTATATAAGTCTGTAAGATGGATTATTGAATTCCTGCTCTTCATTATTTATGGACAACTCTCCTTGAAACACAGTGCCATGCACATAGTAAGCACTCAACACGTATTTGTGATTGGGGAAATTCTTTTCCGTACCGTAAGGCTTTAAAAGGTTAGAACTTAGACTCCTAGAGTCTTAGAATAGGGAAGTCACTTAATCCTTTAAGTCATTTGGTCCCACTCTCTTCCCATTTATGAGAGTTCTTTCAATGTATTGCTCATATACTGTCTTCAGGTACTGGGATATGCACTTTAGATTTATTATCTCTAATTC